CAACAAAATGGGAGTTAAACTACACATGAGCACTTCCTACCACCCTCAATCAGGTGGCCAGACTGAGAGAGTAAATCAATGTCTGGAAAACTACCTAAGATGCATGGCTTTTGCTCATCCCAAGAAGTGGCACACTTGGCTTTCTATGGCTGAATGGTGGTACAACACCACTTTTTATACATCCCTGAAAATGACTCCTTTCCAAGCCCTATATGCCAGACCTCCTCCCCTGATTGTTGAACTAATGTTACCACTAGTGTAAGGAGAGGACCACCAAGCTCTACTGGACAGGGCACAATAGCACAACAGATCAAGGATAATCTGCTCAAAGCACAAGAAAGAATGAAATATTTTGCTGACAAGAAGAGATTTGAAAGACAGCTTATTGTTGGAGATATGGTGTATGTAAAACTGCAACCTTAAAGACACACCAGCTTGAGTATACACAGACACCTAAAACTCCACTCCAAGTATTATGAGCCCTTCAGAGTGATGGAGAAAATTGAAGTTGTTGCTTACAGGCTACTCCTGCCTGATGGCTGCCAACTCCACCCAACCTTTCATGTCAGTCAACTCAAGAAGCACATTGGCCCAGAAGCTGTACCAAATGCCAACTTGCCATTGCTAGATGAACACGGCAACATTCTCATACGGCCAGAAGCGCTGCTCGAGAAGAAACTGATTCCAAGAGTTCAGGGGGACATCAGCATTCTAGTGGTACAATGGTGTATCAAGTGGCTCAACCTACCCGTGGAAAATGCTACCTGGGATGATGCGGTGTTCATTCATAAAAAATTTCCAGATTTCTATCCTTGAGGGCAAGTCTGATCTTCGCCGGGAGGAATTGTCAGGCCTGGGAACTATTGAGGATCATCTGATTCAGCACAATACCATTTCAGTTTGCCTAGGAGCTTGTCAACCATCGATCTTCAATCCAAGGAAGCCTGGAGTCACCTACCACTTCGCTTCAGCGACGCACCCTCAGCCGTAGATCTCCATCTGGATGGTTCCAAGCCTTGTGATCTTACTTTTTAAAAGTTACCGCGTTAGTTGTCCTCGCTGATCTTGTCGCTGTCGACTTTTACTCTCTGTACTCCCTATTTAAACCCTCCACGGCTTGTGGAGAGGCATGGAGTGTGTATCTGGGCTTGGCCCTTGTAGTCGTCGTGTTCCAGTTGGCGAAACCCTAGCTACTTTTCCTCAGATCTGAATGAAACTGCTCTCAAATTCCCCAACAAATTGAGTGTTTCTCTCGGTTCTTGTGAGAATTCGGTGACAGTTCTAGCTAGGTCCTGACACTGACAAAAGCAGCCAGCTGCTCGGGACGGAGCACTCTGCGTGTGGGGATTGCTCGCTCCCGCGAGCGGTCGCTATGCAGTAAACTCCTTTATATACCTTCACAAATTACCTATCAACAAGCCTCGAGAACCAGGAAATAAGGGAACGAAGAAATCAACTCCAGAAATCGAGTGGTTGATGCAAGTTTCAATTAAATCGAGAAAAACTCTAAAGGAGGAGGGACATGCGGATGCTACAAATGGATTTGTGGGCTGCGCTCCTAATTTAGATGGGATGGAGTAATGAACATGGCTGATGGATGGTATGAAGAAGGGACATGCACGACCGCTGATTTGGCTAGCTAGTTAAATGGGATCCTTAGGAATTAAGTCAGCTTTGCATGCACGAACAGCGGCAAAAAAAGAGAAATGGAGCAGGTCGTGCATGCATGCGAGTGAGTGCACACGCGTGAGCTCCGGTGCGAGATCAATTCCGCTCACTAAATTATAGGGCAGTGATCTGCGCCGGTCGACCGGCGCAGGCTTTCGCTGGTCGCATGAATATCGTTCGATTGGAGGACTCGCATCCGTCAGATTAAAACCTCTTCCCCTGCGAGTCAAACTACTTGTAACTTCTTCCCCCTATAGATCTCGTTCTCCTATGCGATGGGCGCCCATACCACCAGCCCCCGCCCGCACCACCAGCACGTAGGTCTCTGGCCACGATCGCGGCATCCTCTTGCATGCGCGCGCCCCATCTCCTCCATTCGCAGTTCCGTTCATCTCCCATTGGAAGCAACTTCTATCCTGAAGGTTGAAGCTTTTTCCTCCGAGGTTGAAGCTTTTCCCCGACGGATGAAGCTTTGTCAATCGAGGTTGGAGCTTTTCCCCGAACGGTTGCAGCATCCGCATCGATCATGCCCGCTCCAATATCCGTCATCGAGGTCGTAGTTCCCCGTCGCCGCACCGCTTCTAGTACTCGGTCACCACGATGGCAGCAAAAACATCACCGGTTGTAGCAAATCCTGGTCGTCGTGGTCACCCCATGTCGCCGCTCGTCGCACCATCGCTCGCTGGTTGTAGCAAATTCGGTCGCCGGTGGTAGCTTTTCCGGTGCCGGTAGCAACAACTTTGCAGCCCGTCGTCGCCGACCACACTTCACCGTCTTCCTAGTTGTAGCAAATCCGGCAGTCGATGGTAGCTTCCCTCGTTGCCCGTTGCAGCAAAAATCATGGTGTTGTCATCGCCGGCCACGCTCCCCTTTGCCTGGTTGTAGCAAAATCCAGGACGGTACAAGCTTCCCCTGCGCTGCTTGTAGCTTCCAGCGGTGCTGGTTGCAGCAAAAGCGCAAAAAGATGTGGCTGAGTATGTCGTTGTCCTATAGAAGAACCATGTGCTCAGTCTGCTGTAGGGTCGCCGGTGGCGGCAACCATGGCCTCGGAGTGCAGCGACACTAGAACGGCTGGAGCGATGGCGTCTAGTGCGATGGGGAAGAAGAATAGGAGAAAATTACGTTTCGCGAGGAAGACAAGCGAGCGGATGGGAGCGTCCATGAATAGATAAGGTCAAGTTGCAGTGCGTGGGCCCCTTCCAGCGCGGGCGTGTGAGGCACACGATTTTTTTTGAACATCAGTACTGACACAAGCGCTCATATACACGCGCATACACTCACCCCTAAGAACGCATACACACACGCCCTACCCCTATGAGCGCCTCCGAAAGACTGAGCCGACATATCATCTTGAAATTTATGAAGTCACCGTAGACGCCTCGTCGTCGACGGGTTGAAATTTATGAAGTCACCGTAGACGCCTCGTCGTCGACGGGAACGTCTCCTCCCACTGAATGTGCATCGCCGGAAATCCTGAAATAAATCCAAGAATAAATGCGAGCACTAGGCTTTGAATCCTGGTGGGCTGGGGATACCACAGTCTCTCTAACCATCCAACCACAGGTTGGTTCGCCTGTGAGGCACACGATTTGAAGGGATCAGATGGCTCGCACAAGACCGGCGCAATACTCGGCCCAGGATTTGAATCCTGGTGGGCTGGGGATACCACAGTCTTTCTAACCATCCAACCATAGGTTGGTTCGCCTGTGAGGCACACGATTTGAAGGGATTAGATGGCTCGCACAGGACCGGCGCAATACTCGGCCGGCACGCCGAGTCTAAACATTTTCTTAAGTTATATTGCTTGACTTTTCCTTATAAAAAATCCTGAAGGGAATTCCCTTTTTCGGCAAATCCGGACAGATTTGCGAGCGTTATTTTTGAATTTCCAAGAAGCTTCAGCGAGGGGCGCGCGTGCATGCGCGTGGGTTGTTGCTGTAAGCCAGTTCATTCATTTCTTTTAAACACAGCTAACCTATTTTTTCAAGAGAAAAAACAAGTGCGTTAATTGGGCAGTGGGCTGGTTCAAATTCCTAGGATAGCCCCAAGAAACTAAAAGGGATGAACCGATGAAGTAGATTTCATTCTAATGGTTTTGTTCAACTTTGATTTATTCATGGATGTGAACGCTTGGTATATATGATGGCAGAGGAGAGAATTTGTAAAAGAACACCCAGTGGCTTCGCCTGGCAGGACAGCATTCACTATCAGCGCAATCAAATCAAACTTTGCAGCGACTCAGAGCGTGATACAGCCACATAAAATACCAACCTTCGGCCGGCAGCTACAAGATGAATGTGGACTACCATTGCAGAAACCTTCGGCTGACAGCTACAAAATGAACGTGGACGCATTTTTTTTTTCAAGATGGGTCGGGAGCAGCAGCAGTGATTCGAAATTGCAAGTAGGGCAGTAGCAGGTGGCTCATGGCTTGTGAATAATGTGTATGATGCTAGCACAGCTGAAATAATAGCTGTGCGAAAAGGTTTGATAATGCTTGAAAATATAGGATGCAACGATGTTATCATGGGAGTCTAATTCACTGGAATTAATTCAAGCTTGCACTGGCGTGAATGAAGTTTTGAGCTTGAAGTTTTGAGCTCGGCTACAGCAATACTTGAAGATTGTTTCCAGCAAGCAACAAGACTAGGTACAGTTAGCTTTCAGCACTGTCCATAGATTGTTTCCAGCAAGCAACAAGATTAGGTACGGTTAGCTTCCAGCACTGTCCTAGTAACGCCAATAGGGTTGCACATAATTTAGCTAGGCATGGTTATGATTCTAAAGTTGTACTCCCTCCGTCCCAAAAAAGTGTCTCAACCTTAATACAAATTTATACTAAATTTAGTACAAAGTTGATACACTTATTTTGAAACAGAGGAAGTAGTTTTTGAGGACGGTGATCGTCCTAGCTTTATTTTTCCACACATCATCTTCAATGTAAATGTTATTTGAAAATAATATATTGCGCCCAAGGGCATTTCCCCTCAAAAAAAAAAGAACTTGTTAGAGGAAGTGCGAGACGTAATGTAAAGGTTATTTGTTACGCATATGATCAGCCGATCAGGCCATCAAATTTGCAGGTTATATGAATCCTCATGAAAAGTTAGCAAACATAAAATTTCTAAGCTCTAGGTACACCAATCAGTTTACACATTCTTCTCGGCGACGAGCCATAAATAATACATGGCTGCGACGGGGCAACTCTACAGGGCTGTGAGAAGTGGACTAAAACATCATCTTTGCTAAAAAGCACACTGAATCGATGATGGGTGTTATGGTTAGATAAAGGAACACCACATCTCATCTCTGTCACTCCCTCGTGGGGTCTCTCACCTAGGGTTAGCCTCCAGTTTGCGGCTGCCACCTACGTACTTCCCGTTGCTGTTATTATTAGCCTTCTTATGAAGCTTACCCTCATCATCGTGCTGCTGCACTTTGGGCGCTGCGATGCTCATGCCCAGTGTGGTTGTGACCGCAGCAGGTTCCTGAGACTGAATCATTTCACCATTCAGAGTTAGAATACCGTCAGGGCAAGTACTACCAAGAATGAAATTGGCATTCCTCATATGTATATATGGCAAAGTATGGGCAGAGTGCCATGTGCTCACCATTAGTCGTGCATTTTGTGCTTCCATATCTTCACAGGCCTTCTTAAGCTGGTCAAGCTCAGTTCTGAGGGCGTTGTTCTCTGTTGTCAGCTCAGCAACCTTCCTGGATAATTCCTCGCACTCTTGCTGATAAAACAGTGGAAAGAATCATGTCAACGCAAAAGGATTACTTATAATTAGGACCTTTTTTGCAAATGTAAGTACTAAGATGCCACCGCAAAGGATTCAAAGGGAATAGTAATTTTATTTCCCAGCAAGTCACTATGTCCAGCTTTGCTTAGTCATGCTATTCATGGCTGTGTGTGATGGCATTCCAGAGGAGAGTAGAAAAAGAGATGGTCAGCACCTTCCCCCATCAACAAAATTTCAAAGGGGATAGATTATGCTTTTATGAAGCTGATTTTCAGAGTTCGAATTATGTTTTACAACAAAATTCCTGGTGTCATCTCTAAATTTCTTCTACTGCGGTTGCATGCACACCTCATCAATGGAAACATGCAAGTAAGAAATCAACAAAAATTTAGCTGCCTGGACCAAATTCTAGAGGTGAAATATATAGCAAATATGCAACTATCACCAATAGTTTTAAGTCCGTTTTACCCTTCTGAGATATTATGAGTGTCAACTCTTCACCCCTAACTTCTCTTTGTCCACTTGGAGCATCTACAACCTGACCCCTCAAACTGCCCTCATTATGTCTGGGCGGACAGGGTCCAAACAGGAGAGCCTCAAACTCCCGCATGTGGGGATGATATGAGGGTGTCTGGACATGTTCTGGCAATCCGCCACGTCGGACGCAGTCCACCCCGGACCACTTTATCTCTTTCTTTATTCATTCTTCTCTCTTTCTCTCCATCCCCGCCAATCATAGGCATTTGACTGGACAATTTGGGCGACATGGCTGCGTGCCCGGACAAATGAGGGTTCAAAAAGGACACGCGCAGACACCATCCGGACGCGTCCGAGTTATAAGGGGTCAAATTATCCCATTCCAGTTGTAGATGCTCTTACCACCCTGAACTTCCCCCTGCGACCGATTTCAGTTACATGATGGCCACGATGTTGAAACCACTCCCAAAACAAACTCAAAGGATGAAGTGCCAAGTGTTGGAAGTTCAGGTGGTTAAGCAACAAACCAAAAAATTCAAGGGGGTAATTGCACATTTGTGGGCCATTTCTTTTACTTGAAGTGCAAAACAACATGAATGTTCAATATTCCGTTCTGCATCTACTCACTCTTCAGTATTCCCCTTACAAAACAGAAAGTGTAGCTTTTATGCAGCTGTCACAACTGGTGTCATCCCTGAAAGGCAATTTTGACGGCAATTGTGACTGAGTTTCAGTACAACAAACATTTCAAAATGTGTGGGAAGGATAGGCAGCCCAGTCAAAAACTGCTATGCCTGCAGTTGTAAGAAAATTGCCTGATTTGATATGTAGTATTCAGCTTATTTTCTAAGTACAAGAAACTAGCATGACCAGAATACAAATTTTATATTAGGCAACCCACATTTATTGAACTACTGGGCTTTGCAATGCATAAGGAATAGCTCGGTGATTCAGGTGATAAAAGTCAAGCCCACCTAGAATCCAAACACTAGCATGTCTGCATGTGCATATCATTACTTGACTGACCCATCAACTGGTGGCTCGTGGTGAACTGTGACCATTCAACTGCAACAAGGCAGCATCTGGTGAGGAGGCGAGATCATGCCAAATCCTTCCTGTGGCCTCCAACAGCGAGATGGCGCACTAAATCCCTCCTGCCAGTAATATGGCAGCATCCAGTTGAGAAGGTAGTTTTTTTGCAGGTTCCTCATCTAACTCCCTAATCCACTGTTATATTTAACTTGACAATTAACTAAAATGATGAATGCATGATGCATATCCATCCTCTTTGTGGTTTTGTATGCTTCCTCCGTAGAGGTGAATACCAAACCTAAAAAAAGGGGGGCCTGTTACATATGCTACTTCTACTCTACTGAATTTTGAACGCGGTATGCTGAAACCGATTTTAGAAAATACACAATAAAGCTAAATCATGCTCCCTCAGTTCCATAATGTAGTGCATACAGATATTTTTAAAACTCAAGCTTTACAAAGATCAACCAAGTTAATCGAAAGAACTATTTATATTTACAGTATCAAATATATACAATATGAATATGCGTCTCGATGTATCTAATAGTGTCAAAACTGATATTATATTTCAGGATAGAGGGAATATTTGATATTCTAGATGTAGATATTTTTCTCTATAAACTTGGTCAAACTTTTTATAGTTTAACTTAGTATTAAGTGTTTTGTGGAACGGAGGGAGTATTATGACATGCACTAGTACACTGCAGGTTAAAACAACCATCAGAGACGTCGAACAGTGATAATTTTAGGACAAATGCTAAGCAATGAAATTCACTTGGCAGGCACAAGAGATTCAGAAGAGAGGTACATAGTGGATCTGGAACTTTCTTAAGCCATTTGCTGAATAGAGAGATGGCAGATATAACACAGATCAAAAACATAGCTAAAGGATAATAGACAAAAGATAAGGTTAGCATACTACTAATCTCCTATCCGACAAACTAATTGCTCCCTATCTCTTCTGCATGCTACTGCAGGCATGTGTGACTGCTGCTGCCGAAGAGTTATCACACTGTGCAACTGCTCATGTTTTCAATATGCTTAACAATACCAACAGTAGGGAAACCTGGGTACAGTAATTTTTGGCATAAAACTGCAGTATCATAGTTTAAGTCTCCAAGTTCCTTTCACGGTAAAAATAAGTGTTTTCCAGGTTCATCACTAGTACCAGCATAATTGATACAAGTTAAGAAATGAAAAGAAGCAGCAGCATTTATTGTTCACATGCATTTTTGCAATGAGGTGTAATATTTCCATTACTACCTGCTTGCGTAACCTTGATCTCCTCGCAGACTCCCTATTAGATTGTTTTCGCCTCTCCCTCTTAATTTCACGCTCATCCTGCCAAAATAGGAATGATTAAGAGCAGT